GATAAAATATCTCCATATAAACTGATTCATTAGACACGAAAAAGAAACATAGTCTCTTTGAGAAAAGTTCTTCTCATAATGAGTAACGAACTTATTTTAAGGATAGTGATAGTGATGCGGACGAGTACTTTGACGCTTAATTAAGAGTATAATAAATTTTTGTTGTTTTCTTTTTTTTTACTTTCTTTCGTTTTATTCACTAGTTTAGTTGTAGTATATAAATATTTATGTACCTAGTAATAATTGTTACTTTAAATTATATTTTGACCAGAAGCAAAGCAAACCTTTAAGGATACAACAAATAAACTGAAATACAATATTTATTCCAAGAAATAAGTACTCTCTCTACACTGAATGCATTCGATATCCAGTTAAAAAAGTTTAACAGGGTGTGGAAACTCGTTCCTACGTCAACTTCTACTAACACATAGTAACCTACATTGAACAAAGGGATTGAAATAACTTCATATTGTTCAGGGAACCATCTTGGATTGAATATTGTCAGTATTTTGTATTATAGGAACAGTTTATAGCATGGAGAATAGACGTAAGGAGTACTATACTTATCTTGACGAGATTTAAAACAAGCTGTCTCATTAGCCGAGTGGTCGCAAGTGCGACTGCCGGACAAAAGGTCTCGGGTTCGATTCCCGGGTCGGGCAAAGTACTATTTGGTTTTAAAAAAAATCTCAGTAGTAGCACGGTGTCTGGAATTGTGCCCGGTACATGTGAATAGGTTCATCCCCTATTCCATGGAACTCATAACATAAATAGTGAAAAGTGGGTGTTACAATGTGGCATTAAGTGCTATAATGTGCACCACTGCCTACCTAAATAAAAGCGCCTGCCTAAATAAAAGTACCTGCCTAAATAAAAGCGCCTGCCTAGATAACAGTACCTGCCTAAATAAAAGCGCCTGCCTAGATAAAAGGCGTGATGTAATGTATGTATTAAAATAAAAAGTATTCATTCCACTTTGTTAATTAGATAGTTTTATTATAGTATCGTACTTATGCTGCAGTTGTTGCAAGAGCCGATTAATTGACTGCACATTTGGCAGAGACCAAGCAGTAGCGTTCTTTAATCAATTTGAACCGTTTTTGTAATCCCCCTGTCATATGTGGGGATTTTAGCAAACTCCCTTAAGTAGAAGAGGATTATAGTAGCAATTAATTTGGTGATTTTGAACAGACATTTACACAAAAATGATATTTATAAATGCGAAAATTTGTGTGTCTATGTGTATGTTTGTTCCTCAATCACGTTGAAACAGCTGAAGGAAGCGAAATTAAATTTGGAAGAGAGGTATATTATAATGGTCTTGAATCAAATCAAATCATTTATTGAATAACACATAGGGTACTTTTTATCTACCGGGACCGCAGATCAAGCCGTTAGCAGACGCTAATAAAAAATGAACAGACATATTTTATTACTTGTTCACCCATTTACGATAGTGGCGCCACTTGTTTAAAGCATTTTGTTGGACAATATTTCACTCATAGAGACTCTTCCTTATCTGCATACTCCATGGTTTATACCTTTGAACGACTTCGTTAGCTATGCTCAGGCAAGTGTAATTCACACTTTACCGGTACATAAACACAATATGTGCTGCAATGCAACGCATAATATACATACATACATAATACTGACTCCACATTGAAATATAGAAAACCAGTTTTTTATGGGATAAGCCGGCAAATGAGCAGACGGTGATCCGTCTGCTGCGGGCGATGCTGATTGCTTACCATCAGGTGATCCTGATGATACGCAATCATTGTCGCCCATGGACACCTGAAACACCAGAGGCGTTACAAGTGTGTTACCGCCATTTTGGTAGATTCGAATTGGATTCGGGGATTCAGGCATAGGGGAAACTGAGGGGGGGGGGGGGGTGATTGGGCCTCTGGTAACCTCACTCACACGACGAAACACAACGCATGCGTCGTTTCACATCGGGTTTATCATGGTCTTGCTTTGTATAATCTTTCTGAACACTCAAGGGTCAGTTTATACTGGTTTTGCATAGCTTGGTGTATCTACTCTGTATAGTGCATGCATGGTTACGTATTACATAAGTTATGTAGATAACGATTACTATAATAATTGTTATGTGATAACAATCTATGGTGTCTAGTTTGAAGGTCTTTGTTAATGTTGTTTTATAGCTTCATGATTTATATCTTCTGTAGGAATTTGCTTAATACATTCTAATGCTACGGTATTTCCCCATAGTTAAAGTTGTGCACATGATTGCTGGTTTTCTTAATTCTATTTGACAGTCGTCATTATAGTAGAAATTTAAAAGATCTTTTCCGCTCTACGGTTGCGTTTAACAACTATTTTTAAGTAGAATAGTGAATATGTACTATCTATATAAATACTTTCACTCTTCTTATCAAATCGAAGTTTATGATAAATTATTGATTAACTTTATATAAAAATCGCGGGTTAATCATCGAAACACAGTAGGGTTCTTCCTCTAAAAATAATAATAATAAAAGACGCGGAAGAATCGATCGCAATTTCGAATGCATTTTATAGGTTTTATTTGCTTAAACTTCAGCACTACACTGTGATTCGAAAGTAGTAGAGCTTTTCTCAGTACATTCACGTGAGAACCCGCGATTTTTAGGTAATGTAGTATGACTCACGATAGTTACCTATTTTAAAAACATTAACTTTATATCTCAAAATTAAACTTCATAACCTAAATGTTAGTCACGATAAACCAATATTGTTACATCATTCGCCAAAAGCGAGATCCGACTTAGGTTATACAAGGAGCATGCTGTATTCGCCGCACGTCCTCGTTCCATATACAGGGTGTCGTACATTAGCACTTCGATATGGGAAGCATATCCCTGTATGTGAGGCCATGAACTTTTGTATCCTTATGAAATTATTAACCTTGGATAATTGGATTTGTGTAGATAAGCCAGTATGGGTATCAATCGCGGATATTTTGGTATTGTGGTGTCATTATGTGGTTAGAACAAAAGCTGGTAAATAGTTTAAGGTCGTGGTAGTATCGTGTTACGTAATGTCCATCTCGTCCAAAGTATCGGTTTTTAGTATCGCATTATGATTCCCGAAATACGTAATCTCTTTTTGGCGATGGCATAAAAATAATTTGTTCCTTGGCAAAGATTTCCTACTAACTTAGTACTTCATTTCGGTTAATAATAGCGAAGGAATTAGGGATATGTCATGGAATGTAGAATGTTTTACATAATATTATATGAAAACAATGAACAAAACAATGTAAACCAATGGAAATCGAAAACATACGGTTTTTGATTTTGCAGTCTCAAGATGACACTAGTATGCAATGACGTCTTACACTAGTCCATTTAAGCTGTTACAATCTCGATCTCCGGCCACCGTAAGCGCGGGCCTGCGGACGGCGAGCACGGGTGGCTCCCGGTCCGACCAGAAACAGACCCGAGCGTACGGCGCGTCGCGTTCCGCGCGCGCCTCAAAGAGCCATCAAACCATCACAGATGGGGCCCATCAGGGCCGATGGCGATTCGGAGTCGCGGAGAACCTAACGGGTAACCGGGGCTCCGGCTTGACCTGCAGAAGAAGGAATGAGGTGGTTTTTAGTCAGTAAGAGTCTGACAGTCCCTTCCGCCTCACCCGGGCGGGAACAGGCATTCAATGATTTTCCCCCCTTAAAAAAAGCTGTTACAAGTTAACTAGCTGTCAAAATGACATATTTAAACCAATAATTTATTGGTCATAGGACTTTAAACTACACTAGTGCCCTCTAATAAAGTAAACACCCTCATTGGATAATAGGTATTTGTAATTAGGCTTTATCTGAAATGAGACATTGATTTGAAATAGAAACTCCAACATTTTCGAACAAATAAGAACTAAAAACTTACTCAAAAACTGAAAACTTCTTACTGGGTTCTGATAAAATTGGACTTAAACAAGGTTTGTCTGTTCCGGATGAAGTTGCTCTAAGCCACAAATTGCATTAAAGCAAGTTAATTGGAGGCTAATTGGAGTAAGTTGAGTGGATCTAGGTAATAGAACGCTGAAGTGCTATCTAAGATATTATTATATAATACTATAATTTAAAAAACTGTTTTACTGCATGTATGATACAAGACTATATTTGAGTATATTTCTGGGGTATTTGATAATGATTGATGACTGATGAAAAAGAAGGAAAAGGAATAATGCTGTACTGTTTCGTACTTATTATGATTCTCTGAAAGATGTTTGCGCTTCATATTTAGGCTAAGAACTTTCGCTACGGACTTAAGAGAAAATCCTAATGTGGAACAACGTTTTTTTAAAAAAAAGAGAAAAAAAATTAGGGCTTTGTATGGGTATTCAAAAGTATTGTTTTGATTATATAAGAATCGGTTGCGCAGTTTTCTAATAAAAAACTTCAGCTTTAAAAATATTAGTTTCGCTATACCTCAACTGTGATGTTAAAGAATAATGGCATAATATAAATTGAGGAAGTTCAAAGACTGGGAAAACTGCACATAAAACGATTTATTGATTCCCACAGTCGACTGAAGATCGTAGCTTTGTTAAATGAAGCGAGTAAAGATAACGTAACTAGATATTACGCATCCTTTCTCTTATAACTTCTTAGGAATCTAATAGTTACTATTGGATCTTTGTCTTTGTATCCCTTGCTACTACTACTATTACACCAAGATTTTGATTATATTTTGTTGCTTAAATTATGTTAGTATAATTATGGAATATTCACGTACCTGAATTCTTGAAATTTTGTTATTCTTCTTTACAAATTCTATGTACAATTGCCATTAACTTTTGCCCCAGAAACATTTAGAACATATAATTGGTATAGTAAAATCTGGTCATTTGCATGGTGAGGTGATACATGATCCCTTGTCATGGATCAAGTCTTAGCTGAAGATTAAATCATTAAAGTATACTTTTAACTATCCTATAAATAGTATTTTCATACATGACCATTTTCAATAACACCAATTTTCTTTTACCAGGTGCGCGTTCGCGAGTTTTACATCGCGATGCAGCGTTGCCCCTACATCCACGAGATGAAGGAGCGGTTGCTTGGAGCTCCCGTGGACGTGGAGAACAAGGAAGTGACACGAGCGCCGCTGGACCGGCCGCTCGACCCTCAAGAAAACCAGGTCGGCACCATCGTCAAAGTGAGCTCATGTCCATTTTCATCTTCACACAACTGCTATGAGAATTCTGATGTTGGATATAATGAGATATTCTGTGTTATTCATAACGCTTACTTTATCAAAGTTAAAGAAGATTGTGAATCAAACATTAAAACTGTGTGGACAACGAATATGAGTCCCAAAGACATTTAATGAAAGTCGATTTAAGGATGCCTTAAATCTATTGATTGATACCGCTACTGGTTCAAAATTCAATAATTACAATTTGGTACCTAAAGTAAATGGCAATGACCCTGTTACAGCTGTTAGTGATCATTCCGGATGATTTGATAGTTTGAGAAGAGAAGCGTTTAAAACGTTTGAAGTGCCTAAGCAAAGATTTTATTTCGGGTCAATGAGAAAATTTGTAAGAGCAACTGTTACGAACAAATGAATTTCAATTATGGTAGACTTTGCAATATCGTTTGACTAATGCGTTATTTCTTTTAAAGATAATTATTGTTCTAAACTCATTCCAAATCAAGGGATACTCATTGCAGTTTTCATATTTTTAAATATGATTTTATTACCTACTTCTATCTTGTCTATTTGATATTTTCAATAATTCGTATACTTCTGATAGATAAAAATGCTTATAAAAAGGTTGATATTTAGTACGCCTTTTCTTTTACCATAGTGTGAAAGAAAAGCCGTAGTTTTGTAACACTTAGGAACTTATCTATGTGTATTAGGTTCTTTCCTAAATCGTTTTCCTTCTTCCTATATCTTTTTAGTACTTCATGAACCATATGTAGCCGCATTTTATTATTTGGAGTCCAGTCATCGTTCACCAAATTAGCATAACAGATAAAAAATCTAATAAATTCCGATGTAGCATCTGTTTAGTTGCCAGGTAATAAAATATAGGTCATAAATTATATAGAAACTATTTGGAACGTCAATGATATTTAAAAATTGAATATGGAAGGTGGTATTGAGCGACGGCCATATTGCCGCATCATCCAATCACACACAAATAAGGCCAGAGTTACAATCAGCCTAGCTGAAAATGGCAGCGAGGAAATTAGTGATGCACCCTGCATTGTTAGTCGTGTACTGCATAGAAATCATTAGAGATGTCCAACAATTTGTGCATGCAATACCTACTGCATAGTTTTATTTGTCTATGACATCATCTTTTTAGTAGTTTCTGAGCTATGCAATCAAAATAGACTTTAATGTGTTGTGTAGCTTTGTCTTTTACAAATAGATGAGTATCTAAATATTTTCCTTATTCCTAAGTTTGAAAATCAATTCTCAGAAGATTATTATCTTGATACTAAATTCGTTTCGACTGCCTCGTTGGCCGCCTGGTCGCAAGTACGACTGCTGGGCAAGGGGTCTCGGGTTCGATTCCCGGGTCGGACAAAGTAGTACGGGGTCTGGAACTGTGCCCGGTATAGGCTCACCCCCTATTACATGGGACTCATAACATAAATATGTAGTAAAAAGTGGGTGTTACATTGTACAGTGGCATAATACCTACCCCTTCAAGGATAAGCACCGTAAGCGCAGGCCTGCGGACGGCGAGCATGGGTGGCTCCCCGTCCGACCAGAAACAGACCCGAGCATATGGCGCGTCGCGTTCCGCGCTCGCCTCAAAGAGCCATCAGACCACCACAGATGGGGCCCAATAGGGCCGATGCCGATTCGGAGTCGCGGAGAATCTAACGGCTAACCGGGGCTCCAGCCCGACGTGCAGGAGAAGGAACGGGGTGGTTTTTAGTCAGTGACACCCCCTCCCCGTCTCACCCAGGCGGGAGCAGTCATTCAATGATTTTCCCCCTTAAAAAAAAAACCTTCAAGGATAAAAGGCGTGTTGTTATGTTATGTGTTACTAAATACTTTACCTAAACCGATTGGTTCGATAATAAAACTAGTAACTTGATTATAATTAAGGGCTTGTTAAGAAAATACTTTCATAGAACTCCGTTTTGGGGTTCCCTTTCTCAAGATAACTTTTGAGATTTTCTTCTAAGTTGTGTCGACAATTTAACTGCAGAAACGAATCTGTATTTAGTTGCTTCTATAAACTTATTAGTTCATTTGTTTACGCATATCACTAATTGTTTACGAGTGTAAACAAAACTCGTTGTTTGTCTTAGTAAGAGCTGAATCGTGGATGTCGTATCTGTCTCTTGAAGAGGAAATTTTAAATCTTCAGTGCAAACAATAGTAAAATTTATCAAATATATGTTCGTGTAAGACAATAGTGATTTTTCGTTTAGTGTTTCGGAAATGACTAGTGTTTGTCCTTTAGTCAAGTGCGCAGTTTCTCATTCCAAAGATGATATTTTAATTCAGTGTGGTGTAGTGTATAGAGATAAAGAATTAATGTGTTTTGAAACCGAAGTAGCTTCTGTTGTTATTTGTTTTAAGTCGATTTTCGGATAATGTATAACATAGACTTGTATATGCAAAAGAAAGCTGCTATGAGAAAGAAACCAAAAAAACTACAAAGCACTCTATTGGCAAAGAACATACTGGTAAAAAATTCTTAGTATTAATGACATTTGTGAGGTAAATAATTTAATCACAGAAGTGTAAGTGCGTGAGATATTGTCTGATAGGGAATGATGTGTTAATTTCAAGTAACTGGCAAAAGAACAGGAGGAAGAAGAAAGAAGAAACTCTTCGATATTGTTGCGTGATAAATCCAACTATTGTCGAAGATTCGACAGTCGCACGAATGAAATGTTTTTGTGAAAATTGTCCTAAATGAACTCACTACCCGAGGAAATACCTTAACGTTTGGACAGGAAAAGAAAAAACAGATATCCTCTATTTATATTAGTTAGTACAATGTAATACTGGATTATGATGTTAATTTCAGCTGAATTCCGACGGGTACGGGTCTCACACGTCGCCGGCGCGGGCGCCGCTCGTCACGGACGAGTGTGAAGCGCCGCCGGACGAGACCGAAGCCCTAACACCCACAGACGTGGTGCTTCGGTACCGAGCCTGCTGCCAACCTGATACTACGCCCAAAAATGCAAAGTAAGTAACATAATTTTATATGCAGCTATTATTCCGACTCCAAAAAGGTTTTATAACTAAGTTATCTCGATAAAAAATATTATCGGGAAATTGCATAGCATCTATTGGAATAGACGTTTCTGACGTCTAATAGGTATAGGTGCTCTTATTGAAAAAATATGCATTTAATGATTTCTTTTGTTTTGTAAAGTTTTGATTATTTAATTTGATGTAGGTATCAAAAATCAAAACAGATAACTAATACAACACAATAAAGAAATAATTTAATTTGAAAAAGAAAAATATAAAGCCTCTTTCGATTTAAATACCATTTCAAATGTAGACAAACAGGTCAGCTGTATAAAAACCTAGACATTTATGCACATACCTAACTGTCTAGACATAGACTACCGTATAACTAAGTACAAGCAGCAGATCAAACTACACCTTTCTTTCAAACCTTTATTCGATTTTCCACTTTATGGTGTTGAAATAAAGTCGGAATTCCCGTAACTGCACCTATATGTATACCTGGTATCCCCATGAATACATGTAAGACACAAACAGCGTAGTTAATCTACGTCTAAGATCCGTCAATGAATTATTTATGTACACATCAACCTAGGAACCAGTTAATCATGGTCGCCATTTGAATGGTCTTTCCACTCACTCGAGGGTCAGGTTATACTGGTTCTGTATAGCTTGATTTGCACTCATGTGGACCGATCCTGCAATAAATCACGGCAAGGTAGGCGAAAACAATAGAATTTTATATTACCCGCCTACATTTTGATTAAGTGCAACTAATTTAGCAGTCATGTTGATTATTTTGTGTACCGTGTACCTACAATACGTGGAGTAATTAGTTCATGTTAATGATCCTATTTTATGATAATTATTATGGAAAGGTGTTTATTATGATTAAACGAAATAAAATCATGTCAAGATGATAGACTAAATTAAGTAGGTAATTTTCAGTTGATTATAAAATACTTTTAATTACTTTCCAAGCTCTGCCTCGTTGGTCGTGAGGTCGCAAGTGCGACTGCCGGGCCGGGGTCTCGGTTTCGATTCCCGGGTCGGACAAAGTATTACTAGGATTTTTTAAGAAATTCTCAACAGTAGCACGGAGTCTGTAAATGCCCGGTATATGACAATAGGCTCACCCCCTATTACATGGGGCTCATGACATAAATAGTGAAAAGTGGGTGTTACATTGTACAGTGGCGTTCAGTGCCGTAATGCACATCTCTGTCTATCCCTTCGGGGATAAAAGGCATGATGTTATGTGTTAATTTCTAAGCTCTCAAAAATGTATTGAATACAATTCAGATTGATTGCGACGCAGAAGTAAATATTAAACACAATTAAACTAAACTTTACCTTCATTCAATAAAGTAATAATGATCACAAAAAATTTTGAGTTAGTTGAAAGTTAAGAGAAAATCAATATTGATACACTAAAAGAATATTTCATAAAAACAGTTTTGACGAAATACTTATTCCTTAACAAATGTTATCTACCTTTATATAGGTAGATAGCCAAAATTAATAAAAAGTATATCAGTTGCACGTTCTCTTATAAACATAATTATACCTTTTAAACTGTCGCGGAGAACCTAACGGGTAACCGGGGCTCCGGCTCGACGTGCAGGAGAAGGAACAGGGTGGTTTTTAGTCAGTTAGAGTCTGACACTCCCTTCCGCCTCACCCAGGCGGGACCAGTCATTCGATGATTTTCCCCCCTTAAAAAAAATACCTTTTAAACTGATCTTCCGACCTGGTCCCAAGCGTGGTGCCAAACCCTTCTTACCCAGAGAAGACCTACAATCCAGTAGCGGACTGTGACGGCCTGTTGTTGTTCATGTAATAGATAAACTCGGGAAACTTGAAAATCCTTAAATAAGGTAACGGAATGAAAATAAAAATGATAATTAAATAAACTGAACTGACTGCCTCGTTGGCCGAGTGGTCGCAATTGCGACTGCCGGGTAAGGGGTCTCGGGTTCGATTCCCGGGTCGGGCAAAGTATAACTGGGTTTTTAAAAATTCTCAGTAGTAGCACGGAGTCTGGAACTGTGCCCGGTATATGGCAATAGGCTCACCCACTATTACATGGGACTCATAACATAAATAGTGAAAAGTGGGTGTTACATTGTACAGTGGTATAATGTGCACCTCTGCCTACCCTTTCGAGGATAAAAGGCGTGATGTTATTATGTAATTAAATAAAAAAATATTAGACACGTATTTTTTTATTTTCTCGTATAAAGTTGCAATACTCAGATAAAATGTAGTTAAGTTTAGGAGTGGGAAGTCGTTACGTCACAAAGTGATACAAAATGTAGCGTATTGTGACGTCATATAATATTTCAGAATAATATATCGGCGAAAGTATTTAATTTTGTGAGAAAAGAATAAATACGTGTCTAATCTTATACTTCTTATACTATTATATAAAGCGGAAGAGTTTGTTTTTTTGTTTGTTTGGTTGAACGCGCTAATCTCCGTAACTACAGGTCTGATTTGAATAATTATTTTTGTGTTGAATAGCAGATTTATCAAGGATGGCTATAGGCTATACAACATCACGCTACGACCAATAGGAGCTGAGCAGTGCGTGTGGAACCACGCGGAAGTAGCTAGAGTTTTAAATTAATCTACCAGACGGACATTAAACTGTCAAACACCAAGCGGTCACCGGTGACCGCAACCTATTGTTCTACAATTGTGTCTACAAAACCGGTACTCGACGAGTTAAAATAAAATTTAGGCAACTACCCTATTGTGAAAGCCAGTCTCATAAGTCTGCCTAGTAACAACATCAGCTAACACAACCTAGCAACGTAAATACATTATCCACACAGAATAGACCAATCTATCCCACATAAATTACACTCTATTAAACCAATAAAGTACATAGTACACAGGACAAAAACCTCGATGAACAATTTATAAATAAATAAAAGGGAGGAAGCAGTAATCAAAGCACTTCCACGCCGCTTGGATGGACAATCGATTAAATGGTCCCGTACCTAGCCATTTAAAGCTAAACAAGGTACGTGTAAGGATAAACATTCAATAAAAATCCAACCTTGTATCTAAAAAATAGAGTTTAGTTTTGTGTGAAGGTTGGGATGAAGGTGAGGCGTTTGCGAGAGGTAAAGGCGTCCATTGTGCGGATTCGGGATATCGGTACGGGGAGAAGGTTACAAATAATTGATCCCCGTGAATCATTAATGTGTGTTGATATTATGTTGGGAAAAAGGTTTGCTGGGCTTTTTCGTGGTAACTAGCGAGGAAATTAACTTTTATCCCTTTTACCCAACTCCCTAAAACAAAAAAAAATCAGGTTCTCAGTTTTATCTGTATGTATGTGTAGAGGTATATTGCCTCGTTGGCCGAGTGGTCGCAAGTGCAACTGCCGGGCAAGAGGTCTCGAGTTTGATTCCTGGGTCGGGCAAAGTACTACTGGGTTTTTAAAAAAATCTGAGTTGTAGCACGGAGTCTGGTATTGTGCGCGGTATAATGGCTATAAACTCACCCCCTATTACATGGGACTCATAACATAAATAGTGTAAAGTGGGAAGTAGGTGTTACATTGTACAGTGACATAATGCGCACCTCTGGCTACACCTTCGGGGATAAAAGGCATGATGTTATGTTATGTATGTGTATATTTGCGCGATTATCTCTCGATTGACTGAATAGATTTTGATGCGGTTTTCAGAAAAGAGTTAGTAATACTTAGGGGAAGGTTTTAGTATACTAATTAACTGAGTACATTGAGGTACATACAGCCACACATCAATCTATACAAAACCAGTTTATCCTGGTGTCGCATCGCATCATCTTTCCGCACATTTAACGTTCAGTTTATACTGGTTATGTAAAGCACATAGTA